CCCCCCCCCCCCCTATCTGGATCTACCACATAAACGTGGCCTCCAAGGGAAAGACAAATGATAATGAAGTGGGTCATTCATGGGGGTGGGTCTATTCTCAGAGAGGTACTTGAGGAGGATCCGCCTTGAGAGAGCCTTCTTTATGTCTGCAATTACCAGTCGGCGACATTCCTGACCTTATTTCTCGTCGGAGACATGCATGTTAATGGGCTGTTAGATTTTGGGGGTATCGCTCCCTAAATGGGCACTACACAAGGGAGATTTCCATTTTTTCTTGATGAGCGAGATACGATCCTTCTCGTCGGTCTTACCGGTCTTGTTGGCCTTGTCGCTGCCAATTGAATTTCAAGCTAGTCAGAAATTTCTTGCCTTTGATTCTGACCTAAATTGACATGGGTAAGAACATTTTGAAATATATTCGCAAAAAGTTAATTCGTTCTTGTGAAAAACCTAATCGAAAATCAATTGGAAGACGTTGTCTCCATGAATATATCCAGGGAAAAAAAGCATTCCCCTAAGGCTCCATGCACACATCCAGTCGATACCTGGCTCTCATGAAGAATGGCGTAGACAGCAGACGGAATACTGACGGCGAGGGAAAAGACCCAGATGCATGCCAGGATGATCCTCCCGGACGTATTCGTGATCCGCTGGAAGGAGCTATCCCTGCGCATCACGATGTAGCGCTCCACCGACATCGCCAGGAGCGTGTAGGCGCTTACGTTCATGCACACCTGCTGTATGTAGTTGAATGCCTTGCACATGAACAGACCGAGTACCCATGCTGGAAGAAGGAGGTTGAGGTCAATGTTGTCCTGGTTCCCTTACTTGGAATTATCATTATTTTAAGCATTTTAATTATTTAATGTTTCATTCCATTCTTTATAATATATATATGTAAATATTTTATGTTTAATAGTTCATATTTTTGCCTTCATGCTTGATTTAATTCATTTCATTCATTGTGTTCACTTTAATCTCCTTTTATTTGCAAGACTGCTAGAGAGTTCCATTTTTGTTATGCGTTTAGTAGGAAAACCATTAATGGTTTTAGCTGCATTTCCTTCCATAAAAACGGGCAGGGCACCATACAAATCCATTTGGTCGCTGCTGAAACCGCATGCACTCGGAATCCGACGACGGCGAAGCCCATGGCTAAGTGGAAACCGAAGTGGATGGCAGTGAATGGGGCAACATGGGATGGATTTTCGTCTCATCCAAAGTCACACATGAACTGGAAATCTGCTTGAAGAGAGGAAAGACTTGATGGTATTGAAGATTACTATTATTCAGCTGGTGATTTTTAGAAGTTGCGTTTATCGCTATGTTTCATCCTTTGCTGGATTGTCCGGTCCTCATGCTAGATGCGGGCATTCCAGCTTTCGAAAAAAAGACGAGCAAAATATTCCAAACCATAGATTCCTTCGCAAGCTATTGGTTGTTCCCGCCTTTGCGTATTCAACACCTATTTGAGACATTTTCCATTGCTTTCCGATAATGAGACTCGTTCGACAATGGGCGGTTGGGACGGGGGGAGAATCTTTAACGCAAGCAGCGACCTTGAAATGCCGGTCATATCCATTTTCTCGACAAGCTTGGCCGCTTTAGTCAAAGAAAGGCTTTTATTTATTTTTTACAATGGGTGCGGGCTAGACCATAAGTTTCCTAATTCATGAAATAAAATAGCAATTTGCAGCCAAATTATCCTGCAACTTGAAAACATTTTCCCAACACTTTCTAATTAAAAGACGAAACTGAAATGAGTTGCAATGAGAGCTTCAGATTTATTTTCTTCGATACTAGCGAATGAGGTGATCACGCAAAAGGTTAAAAAAAAAAGATATTTTACAAATATATTTCATTTTGTAAACTTGAAGAACTGATTAAAATCTTTAAACTGACATGAACTATTGGAATGAATGCTTTAGGGCTTTTCAGAAAATGAACTTAGAGCGAGTTTTGGGAAGGGGGGGATTTACTAGACTTCTTTGGAATCCAAATGTAAGGTTCCAAATGATACCACAGCAATAAACAGTAATGTTTTATTCGTTCCATGAATAAGATTAAATTGTAAATTTTTTTAGTCGATTCGTGAAGAATACACGAGAATGTCCCAAAAAATATCAATTTCTTCAAGACCAAAAAGGATGCTGTACAGCAGAGATTCAAATAATTCTAAGAGAGAGATGAGATAATTTTTCTCACTATTAAGGATGTTGCTGAGGAGATTCCCAGGGACGCAAAACACGATGGCAAGGAAATCCGCAAGGGCCAGGTTGAAAATGAAGAAGTAAGGCGAATTGTGCATGTGCCGTGTCCTGACGATCACTATCATCACCAAGAGATTCCCCACGAATCCGAGGAGGAAGACAGCGCCGAACAGGATGCACCACGTGGAGGTCATCGCACGCCCGTGCTGGAAGGTCTTACGATAGATGGTCTCGTTCCATAGGGTGTCCAACAGGGCGGGCAGCTCCTCTTCCATGGTGTGGTCTCAGGTCCCCTAGAATTTTATCTGAGTGGCTGAGAGAGCATATATATGATGTTCCTTTCGATTCAACAAAATGATACCTCAGTAGAATTCAAGGCAGGAATCATGAAATCAAAAGATGTCAGGGTACCAAAAGGAAATAAGCACGAAAAATATGGTGGTCACGGCAGGCCATTGATGGAATTGGTAGGGTGCAATAGGTTGTCACCGCCAAGAATGCTTGGCCAGTTTATTCTCCCCCATTACAAGTGTCTTTGAGAAAGACGAAGACGTGAGATTATCTATCACTTCACCGCACGAGTTGGGTTAATGTTGAGTGTCTCTCTCGGAGTAAACGCCATTTAAGGTACTATGGGAAAATGAAAATCGACCCCCCGGAATCTAAATTTCGCTTTATAATTGTTGCAAGGGACCTCAAGAAAGAGCCTTGGAGCCGATTGCTGACTCTCTGCGGTCACGTCCGGGGCCATGATTTGAGGTCAAAGGTCACAATTTACATGCATCTCTTTGAAAATGTGTATCTCCCCAACCATTGGCCGCAGAAACGTCAAATTCGTGCCATTCTCCTTGGAAGATATAGGGCTAAATCGAAAGATAAATAAATACATGTATGTAACCATCGTTTTCGAGACGCCATGATAATTGAGGAAATTTCCGTTTTTTTATTCTGTTTTTTGCTCTCATTCCTCGTAGAAATGTTTCTAACTACAACACCATGCTAAACTTTTTGGAGGCTATCCTGATCCATCTTTTGACGGAGTTGCGCATAGTTTCCTCCAACCGTTCGCTAAGTTCGACGATCCACGCGAACATGCCACTTTTTTGGAAATCACTCGAATCTCTAAAAAAAAGCCTCTCAAGAAGCTTCCTGTGGATTTTCATGGGAATCCGTTCGCTATCCTCGGAGCCAATCGTTTTTTTCTGTGGCCCATTTTAAAATTGAGGCCGTTTCTGTCTTACCGGATCGATTTCCTTGGTTCATACATCGCAAATACCGTATTTTTTTTGTTCCTATCGCATAGAGGTATGTTTCAGGAATCAAATAACACCAAGATTGCTTACTTTCTCCCGGGTGATAGAGAACGCGGGGCTTTAATTCCCGATTGGCTTGAAATCTTGAATCCTCGCGCGCAGCTCTTCTTTCTTGGACCTCCCTCCCGACTCACTGTCCTATGTTTCTTCGCCTGCCCCGTAACCCTGTCGCATGCACGCACTTCCCCCTCGCCTTTTTTTCCCTTCTCTTCCCCAGTCTCACTGGCTACTGGCGCTGACTCTTGCCCAGTCAAAAAAAGAGCCGCCGCACTTCCTAAGGATCATTAAGGATTTATGTGACTCGTGTATTTTCGGTATCAATCCTCGTGCAGGCAGTACATAATCTAAGGCTCCAAGAGTAACGATTTTCAAGAGATTGCTGCTATTCCTGATTATTATAAATCGAATCTGTGATGTTCCCAAAGGGGAGTTTGCCAACTTAGGTCCCCCTTTTCCTTTGAAATGAAACGCATCCCGCAGACTAGAATGGACTCTGAGCTCCAACACTTGTCTGAAAAAGTAGATTCATGAGACGCGCCATTTTAGAGATGCTTGAGAGAGATGGAACGTTACCTGACCTCCTGGGAGAGGTGAGATTGAGGATGGTTCTATTCGGGGGAATATGAAACTTGAGTAAAGTCGCACAGCTTCAACATTTATACCACCGGTGAGGGTGGAATCTAGATTTTAAAAATTTCCAGAAAGTGATTTTTCTTCAAGTGTGTCACTGTCGAGATATATGGAGGAGAAGGATAGCGCCTGATTGAATGGGAGGTACATTATGGAGGCATTATCCCTGGTGCACATTTATCTCACTTAAATATTGTCAAAAATAAAAAGTATACCACTGGCTAAGGCAGACTCTGGACTTCAAATCTTGTTTAAGCAGAATTTTCCAAAACTGAAACGTTTTCGAGATAAAGGAGGGAGAAGCGAGTCAGCTCTCCACTGCCCATTGTTGAGTAGGGAGCACGTGGCATTGTTTCCCGTACTTAACGACTCTTTGTCTGCAACCAATCAGTAAGCGCTAGTGCCATCTGCTCCTGCGCGTGCCTTGGACTCCGTATAGTTAGTCATAAGTCCTTGCTAAATTTGCTGTTTGATAGCCATTCGACTAGTCGAATCAAAACAACTCGGAAACAGTTCGCCCCATTAACAGCATAATAAGTAAATAAAAAAATCGACGATGCAATCAAATCTCAAACGAGGAATCAAGATTGAAGTTAACTTCAAAGGTCAAAGACCAAGAGCCCGTATTAAAAATAATTCTAATTTTCAAACCAGTTTCCTGGCTATCATTCCGACCACAGATAATTATCTATGCTACTTGAGAATACCTCTTGGTTGAACTGTATACCAAAGCTCACAAACCTTGAACATGGTATTTCGAAGAAAAGTAATGCAATGTGAACGATATGAAGGCAAAAAACGCAACTCCCTAGAGTTTTTCATGTTTTTTTTCCCGCCTTCATAGCATAAATTGTGAAATGTTCTCTGATCAATCGATAGAGACGAGTATCTGGATTGCAGGGACAAAAGTATTTATTATTCGCGATCTCCGCATGGGTTTCCATGGGATGTTCATTCAAAGCGGACCGTTCCTGGTAGGACTATTGCCTCCGGGCTCTTATGCCTCCTTGGGTGTTTGTGGGGAAAATCACCTCAAAGTTCGTATATATTGGCAGAAATGATACTACACCTGAAACATCATGATTTCTTTCCATATCCACTAGGAAAATTGACATTCTAACCATATAGTCATGGGTCAGGATTTGGGTGGGTCACTCCAGAGACTCATATTCACATCTCTTTTTGAAAAATGTTGATATTGATTTCATTTTCTTTCTCTGAATTTGTAAATGTTGCTGGAAAGTTATTGACGTTGCTCTGACGGATTTTTAGAGCAGAATGCATTTTGCGTAACTATCGTCTCGTTGAACCTGGCTTATCTCATCCCTTAATCTGTCATTCCTGATTTATCGAGAAAGACACAAATGAATAACGTGGACGTTGCCTCCAATTTTATCTCCCCGCGTTCAGCTAAGCATTCAACCTCATACGGTATGACCTAGACCGTGCATCTGAGAAATGAATTTTCTTGCCCTTGTCCTTCTCATATCTCGTACCCCCCCCCCCCCCCCTTACGAAAACAAAAGATAATAAAATTATCTGAAAAATGAATATTTCGAAAAGTCAGACCTTGAAACTGTTTTACATGTCAAAGGTCAACTGACGATGGGTTGGGGGAGGGAGGGAGGGAGGGAGGGGTGTTTCAAACACAGGTACGTTTCTACGGCTGCCCCTATTTTAAAAAAGCTGTCGGAGGAAGTGGCAGTCGTCGACCAATACCTTCTTACGTACGGGAAAGAATGCAATAGAAATTGCCGCCAGAGAAAAAGAAGTCTAACTTCTTTTCCGATTTTTTGTCGGGGAGTGAAACCGGAAGAATGACGCTCTGGCAATATTCCTTTGCTTATTGGTTGGGAAGAAAGAGATGAAACCGGGTGAGTTATCATCCCTATTCATTAGAGATGTTGCATGCCTCGCTGGTGGAAAATTTCAAGTGTGATCTGTGAACGCCGAGTTCTTTCAAGTGGAGGGCGGGTTGGAAAGAGATGGATTGGGAAGAAGGCGGCGAGCACGAAAATAAAAAGTTTTAAAAGAAAATAGCGCGACAGAGATGTGCCATCGTCTCGCTTCTCCCATGCATGGGAGGGCAAGTCAAGACCGGAAAGAAGAATCACGCATTGTACAATATGTTATCAGGCACAACTGGGACAAATCCCATCATTCAGCAGCCGATTCACCTAGAAAGACAATTTGGGTGTTATATGAATCGTGGGTCATTCCACCATAACATGGTCTCGGAGGAAAGCACCTCGTGGTCGTTTGCAGGAAGAAGGAATGCAGGAGAAACGCGGTCGATCGCTGCATGATTCTCCGACATGGCCTCAGTCAAATCGTTCTTATTCTGAGGATAATAACACATTCGCGCATGATTCGGCAGAGCCATTTTTCATAGTCGTCTTGAAGGATCTGTGTGAAGAACTCAAAATGTATTAACCTCATTCTGAAGATCGCCCAGGGGTGGAACTAATTCCGCATTCGGATAAGGTCCTTTTTTCATATCTCGGTGATGCAAATGATCTTGAAATATGGTACCTTTCCTTGGGAGATATTGAGGGCAAGAAGCATTGAAAGCCTTTCTGTCTGTGAATTTGTACGTCTTTTTATCATTTGAGCTCTCTGCACGTTGCTTTGGAAGATTTGGATTCCTAGTGAAGTGATATGACCCTGTTTCATTCATGTCAAGAGTGTGAATTTTTTATTCCTATCTGCATTTTAATGCCTCAAAAATTCGCAACCGTGACGGGAGACTTTCATCCGCACCCGTTTTCCGCACACCCGCACCGAATTAGAATTGCCTTCTAGAGAGAGAAGACAAGGTGGGGGGAGAGCGGCGACGTGCCAATAGGACACAGGAGGGGGGAATTGAAAGCGGAGCCTAGGATAATAAACAAAAGAAAAGAAAAAAGAAATAGAGAGAATTGTCGAAGGGACGAGAAGAAAATCAATACAGAGTGCCTCAAAAAGGGCACTCTTTCCAACTCGCATTTTAGGCGCAATGCTTTCAAGAAATTTTTTTTCTGATTGCATATAATGGAAAGGAGAAAGACACAGCTACAAAATGCTTTTTTTTTTTAGAGGGCCGATATTTCGTAACCGAAATTCAATTAGTTTTTCTTGAGTCTTCATTTAATATATTTCAAATCTGAAAATAAGCATTTTGCAGCTGTCTTTCTTCTTTCCATTTTATGCAACTATGAGAAATATCCATGAAAGCATCACACCAATAATGCGAGTTGAAAAGAGGGCCCTTTTTAGGGCCACCCTGTAGAAATAGGCCCCAGCTAAAGTCGCGTCGGTCTCCTGCTTTTCCTGCTACTCACTTGTACACAGACGCACACAATCACCCGCACGCACAAGTGGATGC